ATCCCCTTCCCATTTGTGGTTTCCTGAATCCAGTGGAGCTTGCTCATGGAAGCTGGGGAAGCTGCTGAACAGATGGCTGAGCGACTCCCATGCAAGAGGGGTGTATGTAAAGGCTCCCCACAGAAGATGGATTTCAGGAGGCATGATCCACCCCTGGTTATTTCATTACTAAAGATGACATTTGGCCAGGTTCTGTGACCCTTGCTCTTGTGGTAAAATGCCACGGGATCTTTAATGGACACAAAAGGTCAGGATCCTGGTTTCCCATCTCGGACAAAACATGATTTGGCTCAATGCTACAATATTCATTCAGGCATGATAACCTACCCAAGAGCAGGTACATTATGAAAATAATTCTATCGATTCTGCACATCACTGTACCAAACTCACTCTGTTACTTTATTCAGAATCATAGAGTCTCTTCATACATCTATGTAAAATTCAGCACTTGTTTAGTATGGGTAACAAGCTTATTTTACAAGACTTAAAATATGCATGACGCCATTCATAACTAGACAGTAACTCAGTCTTATAACTGGCAAATAGCTTATTCAGTTTCCAGTACTGGTGTTTGTACTGAATGTATTCATCCTGAGTGACTTCCAAGTATTAATAATGTGGAACACTCACTTCACAGATTCAAAGATGATGAACTCATATTTCATCCTATCCACAAGACAACACCATCAAGACTCTAATGAGAAAGACTTGTTTGTAGAATTGTTTGAATAATGCATTGGGATTAATGGATGCGGTGAATTTAGACTGTTCTTTCTATTTGTGTATCATTCACAAAGTGATCCTGATTTCTGTGACTGGCTTTGTATTTCTAAGTATTGGCTGAACAGTCTAGATGAAGAAGCCTCTGGGTGGTTCGCAAACAGTTAAATTGCTTGTGATACCTAGTGTTGATCCAAATACATGGAATGACATGACTAGAGGTGGGTGGGAATATTTTTCAACAAGCCATTTTTTCTTTCCAAAAATGCTGATTTGTCAGAATTGAAACTGTTCATGAAACACTTCAAAATTTTCAAAACAAACTGTTTGATTGACCCAAGCCAATATTTTTTCAAGACTTCCGGTTCACAAAAATTGTCGACATTATGACGTTTTCCCATGATGGAAAAAATTGTCATGCGATGGGAAAACTGTTTTTTTCCCACCTCTAAAGATGACCCAATCAATAGCAGAGAAACTGAGCAAACCATATATTTACAGAAATATTCACATATATGTGTTTTTTTACTATTTGACCCTCTCTGCTTGTTAGTATCACTCACTACTTATTTGTGTGACAAGGATGAATTCATTTGAGCTACTTCTATTTCCCTTGGAACATGACTGACCTGCATCATTGCTCCATGTTCAAATGGATCCTAAAATGATTTTGTGTTTCAAAAAAGCTGTGATAGCTTCTTTGGCCTCTGAATATCCTGGTTTTGGATTTTTGTTGTTGTTGTTTTTGCCACAAACATTTACCTAACATTTTATGAGAAAGGTCTGCTTTCCACGGTATTTTCCACTAGGTCAAAATCAGAAAGTACCAAATTTGCTAACCAAGATTGATATTTTGCAATTATCTAGTGCAGTGGTTCTCAAACTTTTTTTTTTCGCAGACCACTTGAAAATTGCTGAAGGTCTCAGCGGACCACTTAATCATCTTTTCAAATGTTGTTTGCACCATTTGCTAACTATTGTAAAGAGCTTTGGATATCAGTGCTATTTAAAAAAAAAACCCTTAATAATAATTAACTTTTTTTGTTCTACAAATAAAAAGCACACAACTCATATTTTAATATCAGTAGTCTTACCTATCTAATGAGATGGATGTGCCCTCTCTCCTCTGCTGTGGCAGCCCCCAAGCTGGGGCTTGGAAGGAGGGGGGTTTCTCCCTCTCTCCCCTGCTGCAGCAGCCCCCGAGTTGGGGCTGGGAAGGGGGGGTCTCTCCCTCGCCAGCTGCAGCCCTGGAGCTGGTGAAAGTCACCTCTTTCTCTGGGTGCCGCAGCCCTGCACATCCCAAATTCCCCCCAACCCCTCTTCTAACCCCACTGCCCCCTCCCACCTACCCCCTATTCTCCCCAAGAGAATACCCCTCACCTTACATGTGTGTCTTCTCCAGGGTCCAGCCACCTAATTAGTGTCACCACACCTGTGCAGCTCCACTAATTAGGTGAGTGGCTCTTCATTCTCTTGTGTGCTGCCGACCAGGTGCGCATCTTAGTGGGAACTATCTGCGGACCACCTGAACACAGCTCGCCGACCACAGTTTGAGAACCTCTGATCTAGTGCTTTTCAAATCCATTGATTTCAAAGTGCTGTGCAAAGGTAGGGGAGAATCATTATTCCCATTTTACAGATGGAAACTGAGCCAGAAGGGTGATGTGGCTTTCCTAAGGTCAAAGGAAATGTCAGTGCTAGTTGGAAAATAAATCTACATTTGCTGATGCCCAGCCTTAGGCTTAGTCCAGTAGACTAAAGCTGTTTTCATTTCACTAGATTTCCAGCTCAATGCCCTCACTAGCAGGTTTAGATGAGGACTACCCTTCAGAATGAATCTCCAGAACTTACTAGGTTTGGCCATCACTTGATGTCAGGTGGATGAGATAAGATAATATCAGAACAGTGACTGCCAAAGTCTACGTCTGAGGCCTGGTCTACACTTAAAAATTAGATTGAGCAAGCTACGTCATTCAGGGCTATGAAAAATGTAGTTCCCTGAGTGCCAGGCTAGGTCAACCTAACTTCCGGTGTAGATGCAGCTGGGTCAGTGGAAGAATTCTTGCATCAACCTAGCTACTGCCTCTTGAAAAGATGAATTAACTGCACTGACACCCCCCCCCAAGCCCTTATGTTGATGTAGGAAGAGTCAATACAGAGGTGCTACAGTGACACTGCTGCTATAGTGGCTGTAATGTAGACAAACCCTGAGATCAGCTGTAGCTTTTCTACATGATTTGATTGTTTTTATTCTATTTGTAGTTTTGATGAGAGCTGGTGGAAAAGAGGTCATTTTTTCCCACATTATTTTGTATATTTGTTTCATTTCCTGCAAACATTTATTTTTTAAATTGAAAATCAAAACTTCTGGGATGGGGGAAAGAACAAGGAGAGAAAAGCCACAAAATGGGGAGAACCCAAAACCTATACCCAGGTCAGGTGTTTTTCCCTATGGAAAGATACAAAAATTTCAAAAGAAACAAAACACTCTCAGGAAAATTTTTGTGTGATTTGAAAGGCAGACTGGTGTTCAAAACTATTTCATTTTCCACCAGCTCGAGTTTTCTTTCATTCATCAGCCAGCAGGAGACACAACGATGCTTTTACTGTACATCTTTCAGGGGGTTGATTGCAACCCATTATGTGCTACAGTGGATTTTTTAGAAAACCTCTAACAACAAAGCAGCCTCGGGAGGAATTAAAAAGAAAAGGTCCAATGCTCCTTGAGAGGAAACCTCTCCATACACTAGAATAGATATATAAATTATGATAAACAGCTGCAGGAAGTAGACTTTTCAACTGCTTTAGGCAGCCTCCATTTTTTAAACAGAAACAACAGGAACAATAGAATGATGCTGCTTTATTGTGTCTTACCTTATGTCCCAGCTGTTCCCATGTTAAATGTAACTCAGTACCTGCCAAGAGAATTGTTCTGCATACTGCCTTAAGGAAATGGTATAACATTGCCCGAACAATTCACCCAAGCAGAATGCAATTGAAGTGTACGTTTTAAAATGCACCTGTGTTGGACTTGAGAAACAGCTCATGAGAAACGGGGTGGGCTTTTCTAGCAGCTAATGCACCCACTCCAGAGACATGATTTATTAGGAATGCTGGTCTGATAGCACAAGCGTTCATGCTTTGTTGGATTTTTGACCCCAATGGAATCTGAAGATTATGGGCTTGGTTCTCCTCTCACCTGTACCAGTGTAAATCAGGAGTAACTGCTTTGAAGCCAACAAATGTAAAACTTGGGTAAGTGAGAGGAGAATCAGGGCCTGAGGGCTTGACATCCCTCTCCTGCTGCTTTTGTTCAGATTAGGATTTCAAACACATCCTTAAACAGCATATTTCTGTGTCATTGTGGAATGTAGGATGGGGTCAGGGAGGGAAGCAACAGATGGAAGGATGGGTGCAGACTTGCTTTATATATATATAGCGGGGATGCAGCTACACTAGGGAAAAGAAGGGATGGCAGGTTTCCACCCATCCTATATTTTTGAGTTGTCTTTCCCAGCAGTTCCCCCTCTCTCAGAGACAGCACTATTAATGACACTGCAAATCATATGGCAGAAAAACTGTGCTGAAAAAAGTTAGAAAGGGTCACAGCCTTCCTTATAACTAAACACACCAGAATCTCACTTTTAAGGCTGCAGTACTTAAAAATTATCCCCACTGAGTCGGGGAGGGAGAGACTAAATTATCAAATTTTCGCTAGTTTATGAAGGCTGGAACATCTTTTGTGAAAATGAAAGGCAGTAAGCTTCCCCCCTTACTTTTCAGTAAATATTATGTAACCCTTCTGCCAGGTGGAGCCAGCAGCAACAAGGGCTGGGTTCAGTATCTAGGGGTTCCCTTTCAGCAACACAACACAAAACTGGCTCAAGCCCCCAGCCAGTGACCTGGGACAATTATACACCATCCCCTGGGCACCTCTAAGAGGCAATTCTTCCCCTCTCACAAGCACAGAGTCTGAGTGTAACAAAATCTTTTAATAAAAGGAGGGAATTCACTCAGCATTAATTTGGGAAAACACCACACCTAGGGTTCATAAACACAAACCATGAGCAAAAGACCCACCCCCTCAGGCAGTGTCCTTTTCCCCTCAGGTTCTTAAGTCTAGCAACACGAAAGTCCCTTTAATGTGCCCATCCCTTCTTTGCACCCCACTCACAGTTGCTTTCCTTATCCAGTGCAACCCCAAAGTTCAGAGGTGCATCCGCAGAGTCCACCTCCCACCCTGTGGGGAGGGGCAAGGGAAAAGGGGGGGAAACAGGTACCTTATAAGCTCTGCTGCTCAGGCACTTGCTCGTCACTCCAACAGCCAATTGCTGCACCTCTCCACCAGCCACCCTGCTAGCCACACTAAGAAGTCTTCAGCCCCCCCCCCAGCTCTCAGTGATTTCAGCTGTTAGTGTGGGAGCCTCACTGCTGGTGCACACTGGGCAGTCTCTTACAATAGAGACACTGTCCTAAAGTAGATCTAATACTTAGACATCAGTGATTTCAGCTCTGCAGCATGTAACAAGACTCTCAATTCAGTCTAAATTAGCTCTTTTTTGTACCATGAAGAGCAGAAGGGGCAAACCGTGTCTGGTACCCTTAAACAGAACCCACACCACCAGGTACAAGTACCTATCCCCCACCTTCTCTCCACTCATTGGCGTTGGAACCCATGTCCCCTGCCTAGCGAGTGCTGTTCAGTTGAGGGTCAGTCCTTTCATCAGGGTATGCCAGGTACAGTTCTGCTGCCTTTGGCTCACATAACAACCCTTTATTACTCCTGCCACAATAACAAGGAGACTGGGGATCCATCACAGCCACAAGTGATCATTTGGGCAAGCAATCCCATCATGCTGAGTACTTAGGCAGGGTTGGTGCGTCCATGCAAACAAGATCAGTCCTGAAGTCTTTTTCCACAGCTCACCACTAGATGTCAGGGGAGAGTTCATTCAGACTCTGCTTACATTTTATTGGTGAAAGGAGCCAGACTGGCAGCAATGAAGAGTGAAATTCTCTGTTATTTACATATTGAGCACAGTTAGGACATATAACAGGTAAGCAGGGAGGTTCCCCAAACAGCCACACTAGCGGACTTCAATCCTAATCTGGAGTGGGAACATTTAAGATTCTATGTCCAGCTAACCCTCAGCCACTCAGGAAGGGAGGGAGTTGTCAATTGAAATCAAGTATGATGGCAATTTGTGCGATGTGGACCCTGGAGCAAATTAAGTTCCCTGTTTATTTCAATGGAGCTGTCTGGGATTTACACTGGTGTAACTGAGGCCTGGTCCACACTTAAAACGTAGGTCAATTTAGCTATGTTGCTGAGGGGGTGTGGAAAAGTCATACAACTGAGAGATGTAGTTAAGAGGACTATAGCTCTAGTGTAAACACTGCTAGGTAGGTGGAAGAATTCTTCCATTGCCCTAGCTACCGACCGCTTCTTGAGGGGGTGGATTTTCTAGTGACCGAAAAACCTCTTCCGTCACGTTCGCAAGCATCTATGCTACAGTGGAATAGCTGCAGCGCTGAGGCGGTCTCACGGACTTAGACTGAGAGCAGAACTTGGGTTAGTAGACAGCTGTTGTACCCGACTAATTAAAACAGAAAAACTGGGAATGCCTTTACTCCCCGCTGCTCTTTGAGTACTCTTCCAAGCCAAGTTGTCCTTCCCACAGCTGCCAGTGCTGACCCTCCCAAGAATGACTGTAGTAAAGAACGCAACACAGTAACATTAAATGTGTTGTCAATATAGTCTTACTATGTTTTCTGATGTAGAGAGTATTGATATTCCTCCCACATGGAGGCTGGGCTAGCTGAGACAGATGCTGAGTACTGCAGTTAATGGAGCTACTTCTGACTTACATGGTGTGTAACTGACAGGGCGAGGTACAATGGTCTCAAGTTGCAGTGGGGGAGGCCTAGGTTGGATATGAGGAAACGCTATTTTTCTAGGAGGGTGGTGAAGCGCTGGAATGCGTTACCTAGGGAGGTGGTGGAATCTCCTCCCTCAGAGGTTTTTAAGGTCAGGCTTGACAAAGCCCTGGCTGGGATGATTTAGTTGAGGTTTGGTCCTGCTTTGAGTGGGGGGTTGGACTAGATGACCTCCTGAGGTCCCTTCCACCCCTGATCTTCTAAAATTCTATGAGCAGAATATGTGTTTCACTTTATGTCAGGGGTCTCCAACTTTTCCCATAGGGTGGGCACATTTTAATTATTACTACTGGTAGTATTATTGTAGCACCTAGGAGGTCCAGTCATGAACCAGGACCCCACTGTGCAGGTGCTGTGCAAACACAGAACAAAAAGAGCTTACAATCTAAGCATAAGCCAAGAGACAACAGGTGGATACAGCCAGGGGAGTACAAGGAAAAACAGGTTTCAAAGTAACAGCCGTGTTAGTCTGTATTCGCAAAAAGAAAAGGAGTACTTGTGGCACCTTAGAGACTAACCAATTTATTTGAGCATGAGCTTTCGTGAGCTACAGCTCACTTCATCGGATGCATACCGTGGAAACTGCAGCAGATATTATATACACACAGAGATCATGAAACAATACCTCCCCCCACAAACTCACTCTCCTGCTGGTAATAGCCCATCCAAAGTGACCACTCTCTTTACAATGTGTATGATAATCAAGGTGGGCCATTTCCAGCATAAATCCAAGTTTAACCAGAACGTCGGGGGAGGGGGATAGGAAAAAACAAGGGGAAATAGGCTACCTTGCATAATGACTTAGCCACTCCCAGTCTCTATTTAAGCCTAAATTAATAGTATCCAATTTGCAAATGAATTCCAATTCAGCAGTTTCTCGCTGGAGTCTGGATTTGAAGTTTTTTTTGTTTTAAGATAGCGACCTTCATGTCTGTAATTGCATGACCAGAGAGATTGAAGTGTTCTCCGACTGGTTTATGAATGTTATAATTCTTGACATCTGATTTGTGTCCATTTATTCTTTTACGCAGAGACTGTCCAGTTTGACCAAGGTACATGGCAGAGGGGCATTGCTGGCACATGATGGCATATATCACATTGGTGGATGTGCAGGTGAACGAACCTCTGATAGTGTGGCTGATGTTATTAGGCCCTGTGATGGTGACCCCTGAATAGATATGTGGGCACAGTTGGCAACGGGCTTTGTTGCAAGGATAGGTTCCTGGGTTAGTGGTTCTGTTGTGTGGTATGTGGTTGCTAGTGAGTATTTGCTTCAGGTTGGGGGGCTGTCTGTAGGCAAGGACTGGCCTTTCTCCCAAGATTTGTGAGAGTGTTGGGTCATCCTTCAGGATAGGTTGTAGATCCTTAATAATGTGTTGGAGGGGTTTTAGTTGGGGCTGAAGGTGACGGCCAGTCGGAGAACACTTCAATCTCTCTGGTCACGCAATTACAGACATGAAGGTCGCTATCTTAAAACAAAAAAACTTCAAATCCAGACTCCAGCGAGAAACTGCTGAATTGGAATTCATTTGCAAATTGGATACTATTAATTTAGGCTTAAATAGAGACTGGGAGTGGCTAAGTCATTATGCAAGGTAGCCTATTTCCCCTTGTTTTTTCCTACCCCCCCCAGACGTTCTGGTTAAACTTGGATTTATGCTGGAAATGGCCCACCTTGATAATCATACACATTGTAAGGAGAATGGTCACTTTGGATGGGCTATTACCAGCAGGAGAGTGAGTTTGTGTGTGGGGGAGCGGAGGGTGAGAAAACCTGGATTTGTGCTGGAAATGGCCCAACTTGATTATCATACACATTGTAAGGAGAGTGATCACTTTGGATAAGCTATTACCAGCAGGACAGTGGGGTGGGAGGAGGTATTGTTTCATGATCTCTGTGTGTATATAATGTCTTCTGCAGTTTCCACAGTATGCATCCGATGAAGTGAGCTGTAGCTCATGAAAGCTTATGCTCAAATAAATTGGTTCATCTCTAAGGTGCCACGAGTACTCCTTTTCTTCAAGGAAAAACAATGAAACAGTATTGGTCAGCATGACAGACTGCGGTGTCACTACACTAGCAGCCAGTTGTCATTTTTTTTGTAAGCTTAACAGCAGAGGAGTGTGTAAAGGAGAGCTCTGAAGGAGAATAATGCATTAATTTTGCAGATGTTTAGGGGGAACTTCTCCCAAGCATTGGAGGCAGCAGGGAGAAAGGACAAAGGTGCTTGTTTGAAAATGTAAGAAGGGGTGATGGACGCTGGCACCATGGGCCTACCACAGGCAGGAGTCAACCTTTCGATCCTGAATGAGTGATGATAGTGTTGCCCGTATTGACCCAAGCAGCTAGTCAAAGTTTGAGGCCTTGGGGGTGTTCCAGTTGGGAGTAGAAATTAGTGGTAGCCAGGTATTCCTCTGATGTAATCTTGTTCCTTTACAGGGAACGTATGAAGTCCTGTGTCTCTGAACACAGAAGGAACCACAAACCAAAAGGAACAGTGTCTTAGCTTATCAGCCTCCACCCTCTTTTGGCTAACAGACCCAAAAGCTCTCTCTCTCTCTCGCTTTGTTCCAGGGTCACATTGTGCTTTCAGGTTCCTTCTTGGCTTTACTTGCCTTTTTTCTTCTGCCTCTCTCTGTTCTTGTCTGTGACCTCAGTATCTGTGTATTCTCTTACACACCCAAAACAATGCTGAACTCAAAAGCTCCTGTGTGGATTCATTCAGACCTTTAGTCTTAGGTCGCTCTTACATTTACAGTTATGTTCATTGAATTAACACCTATCAACCTCAAAGGGGTTTTAACCCAACCCATAAGAAGGGTTCATCTAGCTCAGAGGTTCTCAAGCTGTTATTGTTACACTCTCTTGATGGTGCCCCCCCACAACCACGGTGTCCTGGGCAGTTGCCAATGTCAACCATCCTAAGGCCAGCCCTGGATGGGAAATAGATTGTGATTGGGCCATGAAAGTGGGTGAGAGGGATGATGGTCAAAGTGAAGAGGATTGTGTCATAGACCCACCATCTCTTACATGTAGCATCAGGCTCAGTCACCCATTTGCAATCACACACACCATCCTCCCTTCCCATTGGTAGTCACATGGTCCACCTTCACCTCTCCCACTGATGAGTCTATATCATCTTTCTTGCAACTACAGCAATTGCTTACATAGAAGAGTAATGTCTGCAAAATATTCATTGTACTTCTAGCTTCTTTTATTGCGATGTAGCAGCTGGAAAAGAGAAGAAGCCATTCCTCCATGATCAGCCAAATCTCGACAGCCCACCCACAAATGCTCTCTCGACCATGGATGGGGAGCCCCTGCTCAATGAGGTTCATTTGCCTGAGCAGTTGAGAGAAGTAGCAGTCAGAGGAAAAGCTATGTCAGTGAGCAGCTTTCCTTTTGGTCTCTGTAAGCCAGGTTGAG